TATTGTAATAATTTCAAACTTTGAGAAGAACCTATTTTTTTCACTATTTAATAGTGTATTTTAGAGATATATAAGTTTCCACCTGGACAAGTTATTGTTTTATAATAATGCAATATTTATAATGTCCACATAGGCACCTATATATAATTTAAAATAAACTATTAAATAGTGTGAGCCAAAATTTAGACTTATCACAATAATTTCGATTAAAATTTGAATCTATTTCAAACTATTTTCCCTAAATTTTGTATGATGACATAATACATTGATATTGAAAAGCTCTTGGCAAAAATGTTTGAGAGCAACAAGCACAATTAATGGTGGAGAGTTTGTGGGTGGGACAAAAGACAATAACTTCTTATTATTATTATTATTATTATTAGGCATTATATAGTTGTTCTCTCTATCCAATTTTTCTGATTTTCTTTCTTTAGGATATTAGATCTCTAGCTCTACAAACACATATTTTCCTCTTAATTATCAAGAAAAAAAAATCTTATTTTGGCTTTATCTCATTGAGAACAAATCCAAGTGTGTGTGTGTGTGTATATATATATATATATATATAACTAAGAAAACAATTGTGAATGATTTGTACATCTTATAGTAGAATCATTCATTGATAGGCATTAAAAAAATATTTTTTTTAAAAATGTGGTCAAAGATAAGTTGGTGGAATTGAACTTTATTATATTGAAAATACAAATGCCCATAATAATAATATTTTCTTCAATGGTAGGAGCTTCACGTAGAATTTGGATCATAGCACACCCAAAATTTAGGCATTTTCATATGGATAATCATCCACCAATTTTGATGTAGTGATTTGTTCTCTATAGGTGGAATAGTAATATCGAAATAACTCATCTTATTCTTTTATAGTAACTCAAAAGTATCTCTCAAACCTTCTGTTATACATCATATTTATATCCATGTATATTCATATAATTTTTAATATTATTTGTAATAATATTCACAACCTCAACTACTCGTTATTTTTATGATAATATATTTTTCTATTAAAAAATTACACTATATAAATATATTTCTTATTTGTTAATATATTATAAGTTTAATTTATTTGTGTAAATTTTATATTTATTTCTATTTTGATTTCTCATAAAGAGTTGATTCCACTGCTGAATTACATATTTTTAATTAAATCATCCTCCCAAATCATAAACTCCTCAAGAAAGTTAGGAAGAGTGAAAACATTCTTTTTAGATAAAAATGATAAAAATAAAAAAAGGGTTGGTATACCTTAGGGCAAACCCTATTCTCTATTTTACTTTTTAAATATACAATTTTTTATTTTAATTTTTCAGAAAATTAATTTCAATTCAATTTTCTATTTACTCTCTAAAAATGAATCTTTTTTCTCTTTTTTCAATATTGTATTATTATTTCTTTTTCATTCTTATTTTCTTATTTCATAATATAAATCATTTCTTTTTTTTGAAAATAATCACTCTATAATCCTTATATAATATAAAATTTTATTTTTTTAATTTTTATTTAATACAAAATTATATTTTATTCTAAATAACATAAATTTCGATAAATATTATGTATACGGTAATACATATTAACGAACAATTTCAAATAAAAGTGAAATCATTAATGAAATATAATTGCATCATAAATATTGTATTATTATAAAATTTATTTTAAATCTTATATAAATGCTCAACTTTCAAGACTATTATGTTACACTCATGAATGTTCTATTAATGTATTATGGAGTTCAAAATAAGCATTTTTTGTCCTATTTTTTATGTATAGCCAAAAATTGTATAAATTAACATTTCATCTTGTATTCAATTATTTCGTGCACTAATTTACTTCCATATTCCACTATGAACTATTGAATCAAATATTTTCATGCTATTTAAAAAGTGTAGTTTAATAATTTATCACTATAACTTAAAAAGTAGATTGTTTGAATTATCATGTAAATTTTGTGCATACTTAATAATGAAAAATAATTATTATCTAAATTGCATATTTAAAACGATCAAAAAAAAATTATAAATCAATAATATATTTTAGATGTTATATTACTTAGAAAAATAATTACAAATATTTGAGACTTAATTAATAACCTGATATAATATAAATAATATTAAAATAACTTTAAGTTACATATTTAAAGTGACAATTTTTTAAAGAAATGATTAATTTGGCGAAAATAATAACTTGTTAAATGTATATTGCATTATAATTACAAATGATAAAGATTAAATTAGTAGTAATATAATAAAAATAATATTATAATAATCAAAAAGTAAAATAGAGAGAATAGTAATTTTTGAAATTTGGAGAACTACTATTCACCTCTCTATAATTGAAGAACAGAGTTAAATAGAAAGTAATTGGAGAGGGCATTCTCTATTTTACTCTCCAAATATAAAAAATAGAGAGTAAAAATAAAGATGAGTTGGAGATGGTCTTACGCTACGCAACTTCTCATCCTCAACTATTACGCCATGATTTTTTTCCTATCTAATTTATCATTTTTGAAGTCTATATATTTTAATTATTTCAACTTAGACACATAAATTTTTTTCGATTTCAATAAAAGTCATCAAAGATTTGATGTTATTATCAATGATAACTCGTTTGGCTATCAAAATATTTTACTTTATCAATATATATATACATTTATTATTTGAAAATCAGCATTTGAGCATGAATTTATATTTAGAATTTTGAAAATATCCAAAATTTGTTTTACTTTTATTATATTTTTCTTTTATTTACAAAAAAATTATTCTACTATAATAACCTTATCCAAATTATATTTCTCTTCTTTTTTTTTTACAAAAAGTATAATTATAACACACTATTATTTGCAAGAATTATAACCAAACACAACTAGGCCTTCGACTTCAATCTCAAAAAGTCCAAATAAAGTGAAAGCATTTTTAACAAATATTTTGAGATCTAATCTATGACATTATATAATTATCTATTTGAGATATTACTTTTGGCACAATTTTTGATTATTTATTTCAGGTAAATTAAACATATTGATTATTTGCTAGTTTTTAGAAATTAGGGGTATATACTATTCCATATTAGAAAAAGTACATATAAATTTTAAATATTTTTTTAAAAAAAATATGATCAATTACAACTTTTAACTTCAATTTATTTCAAATACAACTGAAACTTATTAAATTTTTCATTACTAAGCACCTACTAATAAATCGGAAACTAAGCACCAGTAAGAATCGTGGTAGAGTGCTAAATAGTTTTTTATCCTTAACTACAAGTGTCAGGTTTAAGTTACGAATTCCCTTAAATATGAACTCACTTTTATTTTTAAAAAAAAACCTTACACCTCAATGTGCAATTTTTCAACATAAATTTAAATTTAAGTGAACTTTAATATAAATATGAAATATCGAAAGATAATAATATTAAGGTGTTATCTTTTACTTGATTTGCCTTGTTAGGATTATGATTTAGGAGCTTATCCCAATACTCATTTTATTTTATTTTATTTATATTTAAATTAGTAGGGTCTCAGATATTGTAACTGTTGATAATGACAACAACAAAAGTAACATCTACAAATATGAGGCTCTTATATAAAGTCTTCTAATTTTTGGCATTACTACTTTTGTATATTACTATCTTCAAATTATACTTTATGAACAAATATCTTCTTTTTTTAAAAAAAAAAACCATCCTATTATAATAGAGTAGTAATATTTGAATAGTTTATAATTAATAAAAAATAGGTAAAAGAAAATACTATTTAACTAGGTCAATTTTATCATCTATTTATTTAGAAAAGTTTTTGCCCTTTGTCCGGAATGTTAAATGAAAGAAAACTTGACTCATTTGAATAGTCGAGAAAATTTGTTGAGCTATTTCGAATAGTTGAAAAGGATTTATTTTTTTATATGAAATTTTGACTATTTTCGTCTCAATTTATTTGATTTTTTTTTTGTTCGTCTCAGAAAGAATGATGCATTTTATATTAAGTAACAATTTAACTATAAAATATCTAATTTATCCTTAATGAAATGATTTACAACCACACATATTTCATTTCTATCATTCATTTTGCACTGCAAGTTTTAAGATCTTCATTTATTTTTTGAACTCATAAAATGAAACGAAACGGCGGAAGTAATTGAAAAGTTTGTGTTTAGTGATGTAATGAAGAAATTGAAGGAGGTTGGGTGTAAAATAGCAAAGTGAGATGAGAGTGTTGACAGAGATGGTGAAGCAGCAAAAGTATAAATAAAAGAACACAACACACAGTAAAAGAGAAACCCTGACTTTGACTCCTACACGATTTCCAACCATATGCCTTTACAAATCATCAATCAACAATGTTGCCATTTGTTTTAACCGTCTCCAATTATTGACAGTCTTAAAAACATCATTTTACTCGAATAATTAAACTTAAATACCTCTCAATCTTTGCGATATGAGTGAAATACATACTTCATAAGTTATATGACAGAGCACAGATGTACATAATTTACGGCTACCAATATCAAGAATGAAGCTAATAATTTGTATGAAGTTCAATACCCCTCTCGAAATCAAAAAGAAAAATAACCTATTATTTCATCTTTCATTTTTTACCCCATGTTTTATGATAACAAAAGAATTACTACCCTAATGACTTGTGTAGACACAAATATATGTTACACGACAAGAGGGAAGTAAAGAGGTCCTAAGAAGAAAGCAGTATTGAAACAGAGAAATTCTTTCCCAAACTAGTGGTACATAAAGGACAAGTCTAAGAAATAGAGTTGAGTGAAGGAACAACTTGACAAAACCATGCCAACTCCAAAACAGTAAAAAGTGAAGAAAGACAGACAAGTTAGGACCAGCAACAGAGCATCTATCTGCTTTCTCCTCTTTTCATATTAAAACTCTTTCAATGTCATGACACTTTCTTTCACTCATATCAAAACAAAACAAAAGCACATGACACATTCAGTCAACTTTATTATAAACAAAAAATGACATGATCATACATAACAAGAATTTACTACATTTTTTATATATATATAGATGTATTTTTTTTAATAAATATATTCAAACTCCTGATCCTATGAGCTGTACACTTTTGATTATTCAAAGTCCTTTCCTCTCCCCACCACTCCAATCTTTTTTGAATCTCACTGAGAAAGAAGACTTGCTCAGTTTTCTATGCTCAAATAATCACTAAAACTAAAAACACAAAAAGAACTCATTTACCCCCCCAAACCCAACCCCCTATGGGAATATACAGAAGACTTACACTCAACTCAACCAGTGGCTGATCCATAAAATTCAGCCACTAACAAACCCCAACCATGAATGAGGCCAAGAATGTCTTCGGCCGTGTACCATTGCAGCCAAAATGAATAATTTCTCTGACTATGATCACCGCGTGCTGCTGCTGCCGCTCATTCCAGGCACTGTGCTTTACCAGTTGGGATTTTCCAGATTCAATGAAAGAATCTCTATAATGTAACATCCTTTTTTGTTTTCTTGCCCTTATCACCTGTCTTCAACAAAAATTCTGCCTATGAAATTCCGAAACCTCTTTGAATAGAGCTTTGGATCGACAGCTGAGATTGAGGCAGGGTCAACTTGCAACGATTTGTAAGCATGCTCAAGCTTCTTACTAATATCATAATCCTGCAGAATGTCAATGATCCCAAAGTACAGGACTACTTCATAGACTTCCCCACGGGAAGGGGGTACATTACAGAAACCACCGGGGGTGTACTGATCAAAATCACTCCTTCGTGCCACTCGTTCTGCCCGTGCAGGCATGTTAGCTCCCAACTGAATCAAGGGTTTCCTGTAAAGATATAATGCAAGTAACTTCAAAATCAGAAAAGGTTTTTAGAAACGATACAAATTTAAAACACCCAAAAGTAACAAGGATAAATCAATGTTAATCAGCAAGCAATCAACTCTGTCAAGAAAAAAACAATTTTGTCTTTGTGGCTGCAAAATCTTATTTTGTGATGTCAAAAGGGGATCTGCAAGAAATTGCTTTCCGTATTAACTTAATAGTGATCAAATAAATATTAGCTTCACTACAAAAATCAGTAGCACACATCTATTCTGCCAAAAGAAAAAACTAGTAATTTTATTTACAACCGGGGAAATAATAGCAGTGGGAAGAGCAATATAATCGGACCGGCTTTAATCATCCACGGTCATTAATAAGACCTTGCTCCAGTTGTTCCCATCACAAATGTTGTTTAATAAACTCCATCAAAAAGTTGCAGCGATAGACCAAGTGAAATCACTGCTTCCAACTACCAACCTCAAATTCATGGAGAATCGATTAACTTCCCAATGGTATACAAGCACAGATCTTAGGGAGCAATGGACAACTATTTTCCTTCAAGGTTTCTTTAAGTAAAGGTCTTATCGCATTACTTGGCACTCTTTTTTAGTTTTAGTGTAGTTGTAAGCCTAAAGTCAAAGGATTTGCGAATGGGAAAAATAGAACAGCAGTAAAAAGAACAGTTCTTACCGGCCAGCAAGAATCCTATCCATGTCTTGTAGCTCAGCTTCAAGGAAACGACAGCCACGCATGAACTTCTCATTTTGGAATGAATCACTCTTTCCTGAAAGCAAGCAAAGCTTCCTTTTATATTTTTCTGGACCCTTCTACATTGTTATCCAGCTAAGAATGAAGTTGTTACAAATGTGTAACCTACCATTACGCAAGAGGAATGGTGATAAACCCATCTTTTCACCCGTATTATCCTCTCGGAAGTGAAGACCAACCAAGAGACTGTAATCCATGATTCGCTCAGCTTCCAGAAATTCACAATCGCGATCAATTTGTCTGCAAAGAAGTTAAATCAATTTAGTAATGCAAAAATATATTGTGTGACAACTCTTGATTAGGAAAATAAACTAATGTTACAACAAATGAATTCATACACTTACTTGATCAGTTCTTCATACCAGTTTCGCTGGAGACGGAACACAAAGTTCAGATCAAGGTCCTTGAGGGTAGTAGTTTCATCAATTTCTCCTTCAGGTTTATCTGTTGTGCGGCCATGTGAGGAACCTTTCAGGTCAAACCGTCTGTGAATACGATATTCTGAGCAGAACATGTTGCCCATAACAATGAACCGTGTCTGCATCCAATGAAAGAAAAATAATATCAGACATGTTAAGCCTTGCATCAAATCTAAGATTCTAAGTTTGAAGTCAGACATACCTTGACACCACCAACCGGTTTGACGCAATGGACACCGTAGAACTTTGTGACCAGGGTATTTTCATAACGACAAACATGTTGATAGTAACTTGGAAGCATCTTAATAAGCACCTGATTCACAGATTGCAAAAATTCAAACTCATTAGAAAATTAAGCATGTCATCAGTTTCTAATTGAAGCAAATATCTTATCTACCCAGGTCTGCAGTTAAACCAACAACAGTAAAATAACCATTTTAGGAAATCAATTCAAGTGCAAGTCAAAGGTGAGGCAACTAACCTTGACTTCTGATTTTTTCACAGTTTTGATCATAAACCTATCATCCTGAGTCAAATAGAAGAAGCTTCCACTCTTCCCCGGAGAAGAAAGCTCTCTCAGAGCATCATTTCCACAAATTGCCAACATGTAATCCGCAGGATCAACTTGGAACAATTCTCTCAAATGTCTGGATAACCCAACAAACAACCAAACACTTTTAGAGTCTTTCATGGTGTGTAAAACAAAGATCGAGTTAATCAATATCAAATTAAACACTCAATCTCAACAGACAACTTATCAACTACATGTTATAGGAAATCAATACCTAAACACTACCGGACAATAATCCTTCCAACGGAAATCAGTAGATTGATGAGGGGGTGTAAGCTTAGACCCTTCTGGTGGAAACCTGGTCCAGAACTTCTCGTTAGGATCAAAATCACTGGTTTTAAGATCCCGTAATATCGAAGCATGCTTCCCAACCGAATACCTATAAAAACCATCATTGGTTCAGCTATACAAACAATTGTAACTAAAAAAAAGTAATATCAAAACATCCAATATACTGGCATAAAACAATTTCATTCTATTATAGTACCTAATGCCCAACTGGAGATTGAGCATCAAATCGTAATTTTTATGCCCTTTGGATATAGTATGGCCTGGCTTCTTTTCTTCTTTGCTAAAGCAACAAGGATTTCTCCTGAACTGCTTAAGTCCATCTCGACCAAACCCAAAGCCATCCCTGTAAATCATGGATGCCTCTACATTATCAATAATATCACAAGTAATGTCACCGGCTTCACCATCCGACTCCCAAATGCAAATTCTGGGAAAATTTCTTTCTGTCATACTTCCCCTTGATCCATCCACGGATGACCTCTTCTTCCCCATATTCATCACTAGCAACCCACAATCTTCATCAGCCATTAAAGGTGCAGCTAACTTGTGACCAAAAAATCCCCCCAAAACATCTTCTTTAGCACTGAAATCAACACTTTCTTTCTTAACAGAGCCGTGGCTGTTAGTTCTACTGTTTGCTGGATAAAAAGTACCATTAAGAATTTGGTTTTGATGTTGCTGATTCTTAGCATCTTTACTCCAACACCCAATATAACAACTCCCATCAGGCCAAGTGAAAACTCCATGACCTTTAGGACCACCAGCTTCCCAATTTCCATCATATCTATTTCCATTTGCCCAAATCAAAACACCTCTACCATGAATATCCCCAGTTTTCCATTCACCAACATACTCGTTTCCATTCTTCCAAACATATCTACCTTGTCCATCTTGTAAATTCCTTTTCCATAGCCCTTCATAGTAATCCCCGTTGCTATAGTGTTTCTGCCCATACCCATGTTTCCGATCACCGGACCATGAACCTTTGTACATATCCCCATCGGATCCAATAAAGGTACCTGAACCCTCCATACGCCCCGACTTAAATTCACCTTCAAATGTAGCTCCAGATGGCCACGAAAACTTACCCTTACCAGATGCTTTACCTCTTTTCCACTCCCCTTCATACATACACCCATCTTTCCACAAATACTTTCCGGATCCGTGAGGCGAACTACCGGAGAAGCTACCTATGTACAGATCTCCATTCGGAAGGTGCTTTTCCACTACCCCAACGTTTGAGCTAGTACTAGTTGTACCAGACGCTGCACAAATTGTACCATCCGTCGGAATAACTCTCCTTGATGTTGCTTGTGATTTGCTCCGAGGAATGATGATAACTGACCTCGGGGTCGTCGTCGTCGTCGTCGTCGTAGCTGATTCTAGAATCTTCTCTTTCTCCTCCTCATCCACTTCCTTCGTATTCTCCTTCCTTCTAGTCGATATTTCAGGAATCTGACTCGACAACAAAAGGGTTTCCGGCATTTCACTTTTTTTCACTCAATGATATCAAAAATGTTCTTCTTTTACAAACAAACTCGTCCTGTTCCTTTAAATTATACCTGAAAATGGCTACACCGGAGCATATTCTCCGGCCAACTCCATTCTGAGTATTGATGTTTCTCTCTCTAGACTAGAAAAAATTGGAAATAAGATAGAAGAGAGAGAGAAAGAGTCACAATTTGGCTTTGCTGTATTGGAAGAGAGTAAAGAGAAGTATGAATACAAACAGGAGTTTTGAGAGAAACACAAAGGAAGAGAGAGAAACAAAGATGAAAGGCATTTAAATGGAAAATAAATTAAAGTAAAAAAAAATATGAAGAAAAAAAGCTTAAAAGAAAAAGTAGACACAGAGCCCTAAGAAAAATGTGAAACTATAGTATAAGATATAATTAATTAATTAATTTAATTAAGTTTTTCAATGGGAAGGTTTGTTTTTGGTTTTAATTTGATTGAATGTCAATTACACTTTCCCACCCTACTTCCTTGTGATCTTAAATGTCATTTCATGTGTTCAACTAATTTTTGATCATATGGTATGAAATTAGTGGCAAATAAATATTGCTGTTTTCATAATAATTTCTTGGCAAAAATACACAAATATATATATATATATATAAACTTAATAAAATTTGAAATTTTCTATTTAAAGGTTTTAAGACAAATCAATATAATAGAATATTTCCATAAAATTTGGATCGAGTAAGATCTACGCAGAGTTTACTTTTGTCTTTGTGTAATAGAAAAATTGATCGTGATAGATCATCGAGTCAAAAGGCAAAGTTATAGCAAAATGATAGATAAATATCAAGATGTACGCAGATTATGCATTTTATTTTTTTGTTTTAATTTATTTTTATTTCTATTATTTTAAATTCTAAATTCTTTTTAAAATTTTTATAATTGTGAAATTTTTTTAAAACTTTGTTCTTTATTTTATATTATTTATATTTCATTTTCTTCTCATTCTCGATTTTTACTTCATGTGATTTCATACACTTTTTTGCATTATTTATTTTTTTATGCCAAATTTATTTTTTTTATCATTAGCATAATTTTGTAAATAATTTAATTTTTTAAGTAAAGTAGAATTCATTGTTGAGTGATGTTATGAGACTTACATTTTCTTTTTTGAAAAATCATATTTATCAATATTGTGTTAAAATTTGACATAAAATTATTATGTTAAATTTTTTGTTTTAAATTTAGAAATTATTTTAATATTATTGACTTGAGACTTCACACTGCAAGTCATTTATTTTTATATTTTATAGTATTTTATTAATTTATGATATTTTATTTATAATATTAATCTTTTTGTCAAACATATATTTCAAGATGTTTTATAAAAAATTTGTACTTTTAGTTTTTATGGTTAATCCAATTGAAACATACTATTTTCAAAAAATATAAATCAATAATTTTTCATTATTTTAGTTAATAACATATATTTATTAATAAGATATTTTCAAAAATTAGTATATGACTTAGATATTGAATTTAGTATTATCATATATAAGATTCTTTATTTGTTTAATATAAATTTTAATTAATTAATTTTTATTCTAAAATTTAACAATTTTATTATTGCAGTTCTGCAATCAAATAATACATGTGTAACTATATTGTGTCAAACAAACTGGTCAGAGTACTTATGAAAAATGACTACCTCCATACCCAGATTTTCTTCCTTGTTTGTTATTTGCGTCCAGATTGATACAATTAACTTATGAAAAATGACTACCTCCATATCCAGATTTTCTCCCTTGTTTGTTATTTGCGTCAAGATTGATACAATTAACTTATGAAAAATGACTACCTCCTACTATTTACGTCACATAATTTGCATGAACATAAAATTCAAGAAAATGTATTTAAAAATTTATATCCTCAATTATATCATAAGATTATTGTAATCATAAAAACATGATACTAAGAAATTTAAAGCTATATTATTTTTATAATGTAAAAAAGAAATGCATCTCATATTGCTAACAACTTAGTAAGAAAATCATATTATGTAAAGTGAAATGAAAGGGGAAGAGTAGAAACTATGATAAACAAGTTTGAAATTAGAAATAATGCTATTCCATGTAGTAAACCCTCACTAATCCTGGCCTTGTACTTGTAAATCTACCCTAGAGACCCCATATATATTTTTGAATTGCAAAAAACCAAAAGCAAAAAAGTTTCCATGGTTGGTTGTTAGTATTGCCTCATTCAATGACCTGCATAGTTTTGTATGGTTTAGCCTAGACTATCTAATCATATCATTTTTTTCCTAAATTACAACTTTCTTCCCAAACTTGATATAGGAAGAATCAAATATGCTCAAAATAATAAAACTCAAGGAAATGCTAGGTTTGTTTTCTAATTAAAATATTGTTCTTTATTGTATCATTACTCCTTTATAATTCAAAAAATTATAATTCAAAAAATAATAGAGAAACTTGATCACAGAAAATGGAGAACAACTATTGAAGTATGCTCGTTTTGGAAATTACATCAAAATTACTTTTCACTTCGTCTTATATAGTTTGTTGATATTACAAATCTAGTCAAGATAGAAGATCCAATTATATATTACCAAATTATATTTGGGATTTTGATTAAAGGAATAGCATGTGCAATAAAAATATCTATATAAACTAGGCTCTTGATCATAGTCTAAGCATTTTAGATTCTAGAAGGGTTGACAAATACAACTATAAGCACTCCGACTACCTACTTACAACATATCCTTACTTTCTCATCATATTACTCAGCCCATGTCACATGGTATATTATATTGAACTTTCTAACTACCAATCACGAATCTCTTTCTCCAAGGTGGAATCTACCTAAGTATTCACATCACGTACACTACCTTCACTTCTCACCCTTGCAACATACAGACAATCCTTGTCTCTCAACATTAACACTCTTGAACCTTAGGCCCTTCCAGTTTCATTCAACAACGAAATATATAACATGTTAAATCAACACAGTAAAACAAACATAAATAGGTCATCATAATCATTTACAATTTTGGGAAAACAACATCAAATATCACTTACGAACAACGCAACTTCACCATTACAAGATATACAATTAAGTCAAGTCATTGGTCCTCTCAAGGGACCCAAACCCTAATAGTTAGCATACCGGAACGTCATACCCGATCCAGTGTTTATGTCATAACGTGGCAATCGATCCCATATTTATGTCGAAATGTGGACCAACACCTAATTCATTCATACAACCACAATCACAATCACACATATTCTCAAAATTATATAATCAAGTCACGATTCATGGCCTCCATCATTCATCTCTCTCATTTACAAATAGTGTGATCAATAATGCAAATTCGCATAGTATTATAATGAAACAAGAACAAATATATATATATATATATATATATATATATATATATATATATATATATATA